AGGTGATCTACCCACCTCAGCCTCCCAAAGTGCTAGGATTACAGGCGTGAGCCACCGCGCCCGGCCGCAGTGCCTCTAAATGTGGAAATCTTGAGACACTAGCCGTGCTCCTGAGGTTGGGCGTTTGGATTGAGGAGTTGTGATAATATGACTTGCCTGACTCTGGTGTGGCCGTTCATGATGGGAGAGGCCTCTGGAGGCAGCCCACGTCCACACGCACATGGGAACCCCCACGGGCCAGGGTGTCACGGCCGGGCCTGGCATGGGGTTATCGGTGTTTGCTGCCGCGTTTTCTCTCTCTCTAAGTTTTCCAAAAGCTTGTTGAATGAGCACCCATTCCTTTTGCAATGGGCAAAAAATGTTTAAGTCACAAAACTTATCATCTGACCAGAGTGACACTAGCCTGGCCAAATTGTCACAGCATGTTCTCCCCTAAAAGAGAGATATTTGCAAAATGCTCAGCAGGTCATGGGGTGGCAGCACCCATCTGCTGGGCACATTTTATTTCTGCCATTTAAAAGGAGCAGAGTCAATCAAAGGGGAAGGAAGGGGTGTTCTAGAGATTGGGTTGCACAGGGGCGCTGCGAGGCCAGCTCCCCACATTTGGCATGGCTGATGAGAGCAACTTTGCTGCTGCGTTGGGGCAGAATCCATCCTGTGTGGCCTCGGGAACTGGTTAGAATGCAGCAAGCCTGGGGTCTGAAAACAGTACTTGTAAAGAAAGCAGGACTCAGTTCTCTAGAACTGCTGGCCCGTCATTTTGCCGCTACGGATACTAGCAGTGTTTGTGACAAACCCTAATGGAACAGAGGCTCCAGGTGGGTGTGTCAGCCGCCATGTGTCTGGCCGTGGCTTGCTTTTCCAGAACTAACTTGGTAATTAGCAGTCGTTGGTGGCTACCTCGTGTGAGCACCTACTGTGTGCCCAGCAAGCTGCTGGGAATTTCATGTCTGTTCGTTTTCTCTTTACTGTGGTGCCAGATCACAGAGTAGATATAAATAGCTGCCTTTAAGGTACAAAGCTGGAAGCCGGGCCGGTGGCTCATGCCTGTAATCCCAGCACTTTGGGAGGCCGAGGCGGGCGGATCACCTGAAGTCAGGAGTTCAAGACCAGCCTGACTAACATGGAGAAACCCCGTCTCTACTAAAAAATACAAAATTAGCCGCGTGTGGTGGCGCACGCCTGTAATCCCAGGTACTTGGGAGGCTGAGGCAGGAGAATCGCTTGAACTCAGGAGGTGGAGGTTGCGGTGAGCCAAGATCATGCCATTGCACTCCAGCCTGGGCAAGAAGAATGAAACTCCGTCTCAAAAATAAAAAAAGATACAAAGCTGGGTCTCAGAGAGGAGAGGCCCACTTCTTGAAGGCTGAAGAGCCTAGAAAGTTCTGTGCAACCTGTGTGTGGCTCAAGAGCCTGTGCTTCTTCCAGGGGTGGCAGCTCTGCCACTAGATGCCACGTCCTTGGAGATTTGAACTCCGCCTGTGCCCTGAACACACCAGCCGCTGTGGTAGCCGTTAGACCACGGCTACCCAGGGTCCCCACTGGAGCCAGTTAGACCGAAGAGAAGTGGCTGAGAAGGGGATGCGGCTCTGGTTTGTGCAAACTCAGGGAAGCCGGGGGACCTGACCGCCTGCAACTTTGCCGTGTGTTTTGACCTCTCCCAGCTCCTTGGGTTTTTTTTGTTATTGTTGTTTTTTTTTTTTTTTTTTGACTGTGTCTTGCTCTGTCATCCAGGCTGGAGTGCAGTGGCATGATCTTGGCTCACTGACATCGCCGCCTCCTGGATTCAAGCAATTCTGCTTCAGCCTCCTGAGTAGCTGAGATTATGGCTCCCACAACCATGCCCAGCTAATTTTTATATTTTTAGTAGAGATAAGGTTTCACTGTGTTGGTCAGGCTGGTCTTGAACTCCTGACCTCAGGTGATCCGCCCACCTCAGCGTCTCAAAGTGCTGGGATTACAGGCGTGAGCCACCGCGCCCGGCCTGCTTGGGGTTCTTTGGAGGCCTTGGGTATCTGACAGCATCACCCAGGCCAGGTTTCAGTCCTTCCCACAGCATCTTCACATGTAAATTAAGGGGCGCTTGGTGTGCCTGACTGTGCAGGAAGGATGTTTCTCCTACGTGTGACCTTGGACAGGGAGGCACCAAGTTCAATGCCGAAGATGAGATGGAGTCCCTGGCTAGTCCTGGCCCCCGGGCCTGGGCCCTGCAGCGTGGCCAGCGTCGGGGTTCTTGCAGGGCACTTAGCCTCCTGGGCTGCCTCCAGCACGGTCTCAGGTCCTGCTGGCCACGTTTATTACCATACCTCCCAGCCAGCCTCGCAGCCTCCTCCCAGGCCCCTCCTGCCACAGGCCCAGGCTGGTGGTCAGTTGTATGAAGAGAGGCAGGGGAGGAATTTGTCTAGACTGCGCAGCCTGGAGTGACTTCTCCCCTGTACTCAAAGCTCCCTGGGGGATTAGCAGTGGGGGCTGCTGTCCCCACTCAGTCCCACCGTGCCCAGGCAAGGAGTGTCGTCTCTGACCTTGTGTGTAAATCCGAGAAGGTGGGTGTCATTGTCCCCCTCTTACAGAGACAGTGAGGTCCACAGAGGCAAAGACCTTGTGCAGGGTGACCATGGCAGAGCTGAGATGGGACCCTGCAGTTGGACCTAGGGGTGCTCATGGGCCCAGGCAGGGAGGGGGCTGGGATGGGGCTGGGGACTGGCCTCAGGGGCATTTTTCCCGGCCCAGTGTTGATTCTAATGGGTTAGCACCAGCCTTGATGGGCCGCTGGGTGAGTGGTGGTGGGCAGGCTGGGGTTCGGGCCCTGCCACGGCTGCTTGCTGTCTCTCTCCACTCGCCACTGGGGGAATGGGCTTGTCCTGTCTCCCCTCCCCTTCCCTGGCTCCCGTAACTCGAAGTCTGACTTCTGATGTTAACGTGGGTTTGAGATACATTAAATTGGGCTAGCTACAAAAAGGGGACCTCTGTGGCTGGGCCTGCCTGGGTGGCAGCTCTGTGAACCTGAGCAGGGGCATGTCCTGCCAGGCCTGTGCTGTTTGGGGAGCCCCAGTCTGTGGTACTTTTCCTGGGGGGCCCTAGAACTGCTGTCCCATCTGTTCCAGGTCAGAGCACTGGGGTGGTCCCAGCCCAGGGCAGTAGATAAGGGTGGGCACAGGGGATTTCCTAACCAGGCTGCAGGAGGGTGTCTCTGTGGGTGGCAGGCAGGGTGACCCAGGGTTATTAGAATGGATATCACGGCACACTGGGCCCCAGGGTGGGGGCTTTTATTTTGGCCCAGGCTGCTGGTGGGAGAGGTGGAGAGGGAGTCCCAGGCATCCCGGTGATGGGCGCTATGGCCTCAGGGCACTCTCCTAAGGGTTAGGACAGCATGTGCCACAGCAGGCCCTGCAGGCTGTGTCTGAGAGGCGGGAGCAACTAGGCCTGCGCTGACCTCACCTAGATGTCTATCACCTATGACTTCTGTGGGACCGCTCCCAGCCCTCCGTGGGCGTGGACATTGTCACCGTGGACCGCCCACCCGGGGGCATCAGGCTCCTGTTCCCATTTTCAGAGATGGGCTGATTGTGGCACAGCCTCTGTGGGATGGGAAGAGGGTCAGGGTGGGGGGCTGGCTGCAGGCACCCCCCGCGTGTGGCTGAGCACATCCGTGGGACGCCACCAGCAGGTCCCCCTCCTCGGAGGCCTCATGAAACCAACTCGAGGCCAGCAGTGCTGCTGAGAAGGAGCAGCTCTAGCCAGTCAGCAGCGACCTGGGCGACTCCTGTCCCCACCCTCCTCCCTAAACCAGTGTCAGTCACACTCTCAGCCCTCGAAGAGGAGAGCGGCCCTATCCTAAGGTGACAGGGTTTGCGGATGGTCACACTAAGCCACCCAGCCAGCCAAGCATTCTTGCAACGCAGGGTCCACAGGGGCCGGGAAGCCTGGGCCTGGGAGGGTTCCGGGGGCATGAGAGAGAAAGTGGTCTCCGGGGACATCGGTGTCCGAGGTGTGCGGCCTTGCAGGGCTGTGCAGTGCTCTCCTGCTTCAGGACCTGAACTCCTCCTTCCTCCAACCCCCACTCAGGGCTCCGCACCCCACCTGAGTCTGGCCTAAGGCCCTGCAGAACCCCAGCCGTGGCCCCGGTTTGCCCTCAAGTCCTCACCAATAGCGAGTGGTGCCCAGCAGTGGGCCTGAGTAGAGGCAGGGTGGGCAGGGAAGGAGCAGGCCTCAGGGTCACCCCGGGCGAATGCCGGCTCCTGGGCCTTGATGTTGTCCCTCAGTCAGTCTTGGGGGGGGTCTCCCACTTGAGTCACCTCTTGGGAAAGAACCAAAGTCCCATTTGTACCTTGTAAGTCCCAGATGTTGGGTGTCATTCCAGAAGTGAGGGGGATGAGTGGGGCACTTCCCGACATCCTGGGTGCCAGGTACCTTATGCCAGGCCCAGGAACAAAGACACGTAAAACATGGTTTCTGCCTTGCATGGAGATTGCAAGTTATCTGGGAACTAATTTCGAGGGACCCCAGTTTAATACTAGAGATGGGGAGATCCCCGACTCAGGAGGGCTCCCTGGACAAGGTGACCTAAAGGATGGGTAGGAGTTGGGCCTGTGATGGTGGCAGAACACGCAGGCGCCAAGGCAGGAATGAGTGGGGGGGCTTCCTTGAGCACTGAGATGGAGAAACCTCGCTCTGCTGGGACCCGGCACCCCGAGCCCCACTAGCCCTTCCTCTGTGGACACAAGGACATCCAGGTCCACGGTGGGGTGTGCAGGAGCCAGCAGGTGGGGTTTGCTTTTGGGCGTGTGCATCAGGCAGGAGCGGAGGCAGAGCCAGAGGCCCTCCTCACGGCCCTTAGCCTCCCAGGAAAGTTCTTAACCTCAGGGCTCGCTGGGTCAGGCCCACCTGCAGGAGCTTGCAAGGGGTCCCAGAGGGTGGAGGGAGGGGCCACCCTGACTCCCTCCCAGTCTTCAGCCACCAGACCTCCTGAGCTGACTTCCTGGTCTCCTTGTGTCTTACAGAATGTGGCCCCACCCCAGAGTACCACCCGAGACATCAGGAGCCCATTGTGGGCGTGGGAACACCCTCCGGGACCTCACGGCCCAGGTAGCTGCATCTTTACCCTCCCCCTGGGCAGGAAAGGGCTCACTCCAGTCAGAAGCAGCCTGGAGATGGGTGGTCTGGCAGAGAGGGTGAAACCCCAGCACCAGCCAAGTCCCCAGGCCCCACCTTGCAGCCGGGTCTGCCCTGCCCAGAGTACCCGAGGGATTCAGCCTGACCCTGCTGGGTGGAAGAGACCCCACTCCAGGCCCAGGAGTGAGGGAGTAGAACAAAGCGTCCCTGGCCTGCTGTCCACAGCCCTGCCTGGCAACGGGGACCCCCCCACCCACCTCCTCGCCGTCCAGGTGGTCTGTGGGCACCCAGGGCTTTAGGCAGCCCCTGAGCTGGGCCCAGGCCTCATGGCAGCCTCAGGGCAGTGGGGGCCGGAGCCGACAGGGAACAGATGCGGGAAGAGCGCCCCACATTCCGGGGGGCTCCACCGTAAAAACTCCATCAGCGTTTCCCTTTCCTTCCAGGTCTTCTGCTCTTAGCCACCGCCCCGGGCGACGCCTGAAGCTCAAGGGACTCTGTCCACCCTCAGGTCAGTACAGTTTCTGAGTGTTGATGAAAACTGGGGATCCCCAGTCCCCTCCCTCCTGACTCCACCCTCCACTGGGCCTGTCTGACACTGACACACACCACGTCCTTGTGCGTGCACCAGCCGCAGACCTCTGGGGGCCGAGGACCCAGGCAGATGCTCCTGCTCATTCGCACGGGCTCTGCTGGGTCTGGCCCAGCCTCATCCTTCCTCGCCTCTACCATCCTTTCTCTGCAGCTGAGGGACCAGGGCTCCAAGAACTCGGCTTTGGTCCAGGTCTGGCCCCGTCTTTTGGGCTCCCTCCTGCCTGAGTTGGGTGAAGCTCCTGTTTGCAAGGATCCTGCTGTGTCAAGGGCCCTGGGAGGGGAGGCTGAGGGCAGCCTGAGGGACCAGAGACTAGGGCGCAATTTACAGTGTCTGCTGAGGGCTCAGCAGGTAAGGCGTCCCCTGCCTGCTGCTGTCTGTCATGGCTGTCTTGTGGCCATGGCCGGGGGCAGGCCTGTCATACTGGGAAGTGCTCAGAGGCTGCGGCCAGCCTGGGGCCCCTCCCCTGGCCAGCCTGCCCCCGAGTGCAGACTGTCGCAGATGACTCTCGCCTCCCGGGGCATCCATGCGGCCATGTGGGTTGGGCAGGACTGGCATCCTCCCCCCTCCACCGTTGCCATGGCCAGGGGCAGGCCCACCTCCCGAGGCTATGTAGAGGACCCCAGGCTGCTGTGTGCGAGCCGAGCAGCAGGTGTCTGGCCCGGACCCCTCTGCCATCTGGGTCCCGGCGTGTTTACAGGTCGGCTTTGCCCACCAGACTCTGCAGACGCTGCCCCGGGGCCTTTGTGTCTGCACGCAGGGCCAGGCCACCAGCCGAGCAGAGAGTGGAGCAGGACACAGGTGGGGAGTTGGGGGAGGCTCCTGGGGACTCAGGGAGGAGGGGCGGGACAGAGGAGAGAGGGCAGGAGGAATAACAGAGGAAAGAGAACAGCATAGGAGACAGGAGAGGGGCTGGGCCTGGGTAAGAGGAGACACAGGTCAGGGTAGCCCTTGGAACTGTGGGGCTGTCATGGGGACACCAGCCTGGGGGAGCAGCTGACCCCAGGCATGTGACAGGGACCTAGTGGGTCTTGGCCAAGGAGATCTGGTCCACGGAGCCAGGATTTTCCTGGCACCCATCATAAGCCAGGCCTGCTCCTGGGACCCCATCCCACCTGTACCCAGCCTTCCCCGTGTACACAACTGGCCACCATCCAAAGTAATCCCCCCAACACCCCACAGCGGCAGTGGTGGCCTCCAGGGTCCAGACGAAATGGACACCACAGGCACGTCCCTCACCCAGGCTTGGGCATGGAATGTGCCCCTCTGGGTCTCTGACTCCCAAGCTCAGATAGACATGTCCAGGAGGTTGTGAGGGTGTGTCCCCAGGATCATGGGCAGGGGCCACCGTGTGCAGCAGCTGAGGCTCAGGATATGTAGGAAAGGGCCTAGAGTGGAGGAGGAGAGGCCTGCAGGGGAGAGTGGACAGTCCAGGGCTGGAACCAGCACCCCAGTACGCATGGCCAGTGGAAGATGAGGCCGGGCACATGGTAACTGCTTAGTGTTCATTAGATGCCGGGTGCCGGAGTCATCACCACAGGGTCACTCACCCTCCGTCAGGACCATGGGCAAGGCAAGGCTACCACCCCACACCGTTCTTGCAGAGCCAGAGTCTGGGGGCTGCTGGGGCTGTGGAGGGCCTCTGGGGTGCTGGCTTGGACTAGGGGAGCCGTTGAAGGTCTGTGGGGACAGGGACTCGCTCAGCAGCATTTGTTTTATAGCTGTCCCAAACTGCTCCCCTTGGAGACCTCGGCCCAGGACAGGGAAGCCTCAGCCCTGTGGGTCCCTTGGCCTTGCCTGCCTCTCATGGGCTGTTCAGGCCTCACACTCAGGAGGTGGCATCTTGCTGGCCACACTGTGCCATTAGCCCAGTGCCTCACCCACACTCGGTGGCTGACAACAGGAGCCACAGCCCCAACCAGAGCTGGCGGCCACGCGGCCCCCTTGATAGTCCACGCTGGCTGGTTTTCTGAAGGGACTTGTTCCTGTCCTGGGTACCCTAGGTTCCTACTGATGGAGAGGCCACCCTGTCCTTTGGGAGTGGGTACAGATGTGTATGCCTGGGAAACCCAGGCGTGGGACAGGGCGATGGCCTGGCACCCCATGGCAGAGCCACGCTGAGAAGCCACATCGGCCAGCTCCAAGACTGCCTAGTGGACCCGGCCTCCACAGCCTGAGTAGGGACTGTGGGGCCCGTGGTGTGACCTCAGCAGCCTCTGCAGACAGTGGAGTGGCACTTTCTCCTCAGAGGTTGAAGGGCATGAGCAGTGGCCCAGGTGGCCTCCAGGTGCAGGTCCGGGGAACAGAGGTTTGCTCTCATGTCAAATACCCAGATGCCTTTTCTAATTTTTAAAATTATTTTTTATTTTATTTTATTTTATTTTTTTTGGAGACAGAGTCTCGCTCTGTAGCCCAGGCTGGAGTGCAGTGGTGCAATCTCAGCTCACTGCAACTTCCGCCTCCTGGGTTCAGGTGATTCTCCTGCCTCAGCCTCCAAAGTAGCTGGAATTACAGGTACCTGCCACCACGCCCGGCTAACTTTTGTATTTCTAGTGGAGATGGGGTTTCTCCATGTTAGCCAGGCTGGTCTGGAGCTTCTGACCTCAGCTGTTATGCCCGCCTTGGCCTCCCAAAGTGCTGGGATTACAGGCGTGAGCCAGCGCGCCCGGCCCCGGATGCCTGTTTTTACCCAGACAAGCAAGCAGGCAAGGCCTTTACGATCGCCCTGCATGTGATCTTTTAGTCCCTCGAAAAATACAGACAGTCCCTGACTTGTGATGGAGTTTGTCCTGAGAAACCCATTGTAAATTTAAAATATCGTAAGTCAAAAAATCATTTATTACACCTAGCTGCCAGACGTCGTGGCCTAGCCCAGGCCCCCGAAACGTGCTCAGAACACTTACGTTAGCCTCTGGTGGGGCAAAATCATCTAACACAAAGCCTAGTTACACAAGGTGTTGCGGATTTCCTGTTACTTATTCAACACTGTACTGAAGTGTGGTTGGTTTCTACTGAATTCACATCCTTTTGGGTCGAGAAATCTTAAGTTGAATCCTGGTAAGTCAGGGCTGTCCTTATGGACAAAATGCAGAGTGGTGGCCCTCGAGTGGCACCTCCCTGTTGGTTCTGAGCAGCGCTCTTTGGCTGTGAGAAACTTTAGTGAGCATGAAGTTGAGCCCTCACTGTGACAAGGGATGGGACAGGGTGCAAGGACAGCCACCTGCAACAGTACCTGGGTGAAACACCTTCTGGATTCGAGGAGTTCCCGTGGGCCAAGCCCTGAGCCAGACGTGTGGAGTTGTCCTTCTTCCTGACGGCCCTGCATAATGCCCCTCACCTGAGGCTCCAAGAGCCATTGGGGCTTGCCCTGGCTGCCAGGCTGGCATACAGCAGAGCAGGGCCCTAGCCCCAGCCTGCACTGCGGTAGAAACACCTCTGGGTTCTATGAACGTGGTCTCACCAAGGCGTGGGGCTGCCAGATCTCTCGGGAGTGGGGAGGGACTGAGGTCTGGGGTCTGCGCCAAGCCTTCCGAAGCCTGGCTGTGCAGTGGGGACAGGCCCTGCCACTCAGGCCCTTGCCAGGATGGTGCCAGGGCGGGCCAGGCCCCCAGCCCCAGTGCTCCTGGCAGTGCCCAAGGCTGCCGCCTCCACAGTTCTGGCTTCCCTCCCTGGCCTGGTTGGTTGAGCACCTGGCCTCAGGCATGGCCCAGGCTAGGGGCCTTGTTCCCCACACAGTCCTGAGCTGAAAGCACGCCGTGTCCAGCTCTGCGCAGGGAAAGGGCAGGCTCTCAGCTCATCCTGCAGCTGTGTCTCACTGCGCCGGCAGTCCAGGGTACGACATGCCCTTCTCCACCCAGCCAGAGGTGGGTGGCCTTGAGAACTGGAGAGCCAGAGGCTCCTGGCTGTCCCTGAAAAAGGAAATTGGGCCTCCTGAATTGGGGGCTCCCTGAGCTCGCCTAACACAGAAGGACCTCCTAGTGCCTGTGAACAGGCAGGTAACCGTCTTTGAGTCCCCGCTCCCTCATCCCTGACACGCGGGGAGCAGGGTCGCTCCCGCGCTGGCTGTGACTGTGGGGAAGGAACAGCTGCCGCATTCCTGCATCTGAAGATCAGGTTGTCACGAGGACTGACTGAGTCACCAGGTGTGAGGGGCTTTGGTGGGTGCCTGGCGTGTCACAGTGGCAAGGCTTTCACACTGGCCAGGTCCCCAGCCGGGAGCATTTGCCCAGGAGCCTGCGTCGTACAGCTGGTCTGGTCCCACCGAGGAATAACCACATGTGGGAGAGGCCCCGGGAGTAGGCGAGGTGGTTGCCTGTTCATGCCCAGAGAGTCGTCACGGCAATGGGTGACACAGTGATGCGGACGGTGGCACCTGCCCTCAATGCTGCACTGTGTCACTCAGGCAGCACCCCCCACTCCCCGTGAGCACCGTGCCGGCTTCCCTAATTTCATCCTTGTTTTTTGATGCAGGCGCTGCCCATGGCTCTGGAGCGGCAGTCCCCGTCAGAGGCTTGGGCTGAGTAATCAGGTGTGTGAGTAGTATCCTCCCCCTGGCCCGGTGGCCCCTCGAACACCCTGCTACCAGCCACAGCTCAGCCACTCTAGGCCTTGGCCTCCCTGTCTGTGCAGTAGGGTTGGTGGCGATCACAGGCTTCTGCTCTGCACAGGCCAGGAGGGACTGCCACGTGGCTGCACCCCTAGCCCAGGAGCTCAGGAGCAGCCTCGCTGTGTCTGCCGGACCTTTGGGTTCTGAATAAGATCTGGTGAAGAGACATGGAGACCAGTGCTGGGCAGGGGCAGGAAGGCACCCCTGTGGCACCCTGGGGATCTGTTGGATCTGGGGGTG